TGATACCTATTTTCATTTGCAGCAGGGGAGACGGACACCTCATTTACTGATGATACCTGAGCTCCACGAGCCTTCTGATGAAACTGAGTGAATTTTAATGAGCGGCGCAGGTTCCTCGCTTTGTTCGGCGCTGGGATTTATTGGACACGGATCTAAAGATGGACACTGGTTTTTTTTTTTTTTTGTGGTTAAATTTCAGGAAGAATTTTTTTATTTTTATTAGAATGATAAAAATAAAATAATAATAAAAGACTAGAGTGGAGTCGTTTGAAAGAAGCACATTTGTGGTTCATGGCTCCACTGAGCGCGCAGACAGGTGAAGGGAAGGAATGGATTCAGGATGAAGGGAGAGAAGAAGAAATGCGTTCGAAAAAAAAAGAGAGGCCCTTTAAAAACAGTAGCTTCTGGCTTCTGGATTAAGTGTTGAGTGTGTGTGTGTGTGTGTGTGTGTGTGTGTGTGTGTGTGTGTGTGTGTGTGTGTGGAGGGGAGGTATGATGCTGTCAGACATTTTTGATAAGAGGCGAATACAGCGCTGCCCGTTTATTATCACATCCTCGGTCCAGGATGGAATTATGACTCTCTGGGATGTTCCAATCAGCAACAAACCCCGAGATGAAACCGAAACTCAGGTGTTAATGTCTGAAGGATAGAAGTATCTGGAACTAGTCAGTCAGACCTGATGAAGCCTCTTGGATGAGAGGTGGAACGTCTTCAAGGAACTCAAGTTGCTACGATTGAACTACCAGAATAACCGAGACCTGGATGAATCTTCACAGACATCTTCCAAAAAGCGGGTTTCAAGATGGCGGAGAGTTTGGGTGTGAAGACTGGCCTATGTACTGGACCAGCGCCATCTACACGGCCTCTATCGGACCTTGTGTGAATAACTCAGTAAGCAGGTGAGCAGGTAATTGACAAACAATTGGCCGACCAGAACTTTAAAAGTTACTCCTGGAATCAATGTCGGGGAATTTCATGACGACAAAAACCGGGATTATGACGTTATTCTACGGCCATAAACGGACTGTTTTACTCGAGGTTATACAGGAAATGATTCAGGACTTGGATATTTGATGATTATAAACAGGATATTCTATAAAGCAGTAAGATTGTCTTTGATTAGCAAGAACTGCAGAAGTGAATTACTACAAATTCTAATGCACAGTTCCCGAGCACATGGTCTGTCTGAACACCAACCTCATGAATATCTGTTTACGGTCATGTTAGTCACTCCTACCGCTTTGGCCCAGATTAAAATATCTCAGTAAGTATTGGATAGATTACAACGAAGCTTTCATGTTTCCCGGAGGATGCGTTCGAGTAACTTTGATGACGCCGTAACTTTTGGTTTTAATCATTTAAACTTGTCTAACATTTTAGTTTATGATCAACCAGCTGTGTTTTGTGCTCAGTGACTAAACTACTACGACGAGTATGGTGAAAGTATAGCTTCTAAACATCAGCATGCTAGCATAATGATGTCATAGTTGCAGATATTACAAGATGTCCGGTGTAGCCCAAAGATTACGCACCATATTTGTACATAAAGTGCCTAAAAAAAACCCCCAAAAAACAGCCTCACCTCCTTCCTTGGAGCTTTTTCCCTTTTACTGCTTCTTAATTCCATTTTAATTTAGCTTTTTAGACAAGAATTTACAAACACAAGACTCTTATCAGTAATTATAAAGTGGTGCTAGTAGTCACACGATTAGTAACGTGGAGATCATCAAGTGACTGCGGTATAGAGACACCTGCAACAGGAAGGTTGAGTCACTGGTGAGTCAGTGCTCCTGGATGTAACGACACCACCAAGTAATTCTGTGAGGAGAAGGTTATTGAAAAGCATAACTCAGGGAACGGATGCGAGAACATTTCTGAATAGCTCTTACACTACAGTTAACTCAATCAGTAAGGAACGGAGGGAATACAACGGGGCATAAATCCGCCCAGAGCAGGTCGTTGCTGTGTTTGTTTCGTTGTCATAAATACAACAACCCCCCACTGGGAGGCATGGCGGTGGCAGCATCATGATGTGGGGAGGGTAAAGCATAGGAAAATCCTGGAGGACGACATGAGCCATCAGCAAGAGAACTGTGATTTGTTTTTTTAAAGTTCTGGAGTGGCCAACTCGGAGTCAACCCAGCTGAGAATTAGTGGCTGGACTTGTGAAAACTTACAATCCCCAGGCAACCTGACGAATCTTGAGAAGTTTTGCAAAGAAGAACGGCTGCAGTGTCCAGATGTGCAAAGCTGGAGATCTATCCACAGCAGCCCAAAAGGTGGATCTACTGAATCCTGACTGGAAGGGGACGAATCAATCACTTATTTTCAGATTTTAATTACCTGACATTACTTTGACCAAATCTGTTTTCTTGTTGACATTTAAGCCTGTTATTGTAAATCCCCGTCAAAAAACGATTCAACGCTGAAGAGCAATAAAACGGGAGAACTTCCGAGGGGGGGTGAATACGTTTTATAGGCAGCATAACTAACCACAGCCGACTGGTGGACTTTTATAAGTTGCTTTTGAACCGAGATGTGGATGCATTTAGAGGTCTGGAAACAAACAATTAACAGAAGGTACTGTATTAGTTTTCCTTTCCACGTTGGCAGACACACT